GCCGAGTAATACTAAGTAAAGGACATCAAAGACTCGAACACTGTTTTGTCTCTCCCTCCCCAGTAATGATGTGGCAAACCCCACGGCAGAAGCTCAGTGCACACCCTGGGCACGGCAGCTCTCCTTCCTAGCAAACAAATTCAAACCCAGCTGTTGTCAGCAGCACCTCCAGGTCATTAATACCTGTGGCTGCTGAGTGGATACGTTTGTATGTGTGAGACAGTCATAACCTTGTTCCTATTCTACCAGATAAATAGCTGTGTGAACAGCAAAAATAATAAAGCATAATTCTTAATGGATGATGCCTCAGGATACAAGTCTTTCAATCACAGCAGGTGTTGCAGTGTAAACTTGCTTCTTATTAGAAGTTAAAGAATCCATGCAGGGGGGACCTATGAATGCTATAGCTGTGGAATAAGCTTCAATGGGCACTTCAGTCTCATTAGGCATGATGGAATGAGAGAGAAATCTGACCTCCTATGCCCACATCCAAACACAAAAGCCAAGCTGCTACAGACACCATCCCTTGAGCAGAAGTTCTAAAAGGATTTCCTCATCCAAGCCTTCTCTGCTGTCTTGTGACAGCTGCTACTGTGGTACAGCCTTTTGCTTAGCTGCCTCGTGAGAGCCCAAGCCCCCACCATAGGACACACACCTACTTTATTGACACCTAGCACTCCAGCCACAAAAAAATCCAGTTATTCTGTCCAAGAAACTGACTTCCACACAGTAGCTCTGCAACTAACCTTCAGGTCTGCCCTACACATATAGTGCTTTCCTACCACAATGCTCTCCACTCTACCACATCCTCTTCATATCCAGTACTATTACCTTGACTGTTTTATTCAATTGACCATAACACACAGAAAAAATCCTAATGACATCAAGACACTATGCAAAAAAATATTGTGTTCGAACTGTAATTGTAGCTGCCGCATAGCTAGAAAGCATAGAGGTCCGTATCTCTTGTTAAATACACCACTGGCAGTCATGAAAAATCTTTAAAATGCAAAGGTTTTCAATAAACAATACAAATCCATGCTAAGATGTAAGTCAAAAGTCACTTCCATAGAGCAAACAGTTTCCAAATGTAGCATAATCATAGTGATCTGTAGAGACAATAGTGAGTGCATTTTATACTAACAACTAAGAATTCCCAAATGTATAGATTTGCAAAAAGGTTGCTTTCCAGCAAACAAACCAGGTAGAATTTTATAGTGTGCCTTCTTTCAGTGACATAGAATCACATATTACTTTACACCCTACGTGAGAGTGTGGTAGAGAAAACATAACTTCCCTTTTCCTACTTGGCCAGTAGGTGAAAGGGACTGCAAAAAGAGATAATTAGTAAAGCAAATAATCTTAAAATTCATTTTATTCAGCAGAAATTGAATTAATTTCACTGAGGGCTGCTAACACTAATCACTTGACACTACATTCTACCAAAATCCCATTTTTTTTCAGAACACATGATTTCAGAGAAGTAAGAAAAAAAGTATTTCTCCTCAAGTGGATGCACTACAATGACCACTTTTATCTGTAATTAAAAAAAAATTTACCTGTTACTACTCACATTTTATTTCAAGCCAAAATGTCTTGCTATACAAGCTTAAAGAAATGCTACAAATCCTGAAGAGCTATTACTATTCCTCCATGACATATTAAAGAAAAAAAAAGACTGGAAACATACAGCTAATACTTTTAAAGAAGAATAGTCACCATTCTTACTAAGTGAATGTTCATTTTATAAGTTCTAAATTTTTTATTAAAGTTTTACTTCAAACACACAGTAGCAGAACTGTAAGAATTTCCTATTTAACCTCTCTACCAATATCTACACTCGTGTTAGA